AAAATTACAAAAAATAGTATTTATTCATAAATATTAAATAACACATAACAAGTCAGTGAAAATTTTGTTTGCAATATTTTGATAAACAAAACCTAAATAATATATCAAAATAGAAACTAACACTTTATATGTACAAAAATCAGTCGCTTCAAATATGTCCAATTGAACCATTGAATGGTTGAATTATTGTTTGTTTTTGATATACTTAATAACTATACAACAGAGATCAGGTATCTGGAGGTACCTTACCGTTTCCACCACATTGGACATTTGGGGAGGAACTGCGATCACGGCTGTCTTGGTCTTCTAAGAATCTGTCCATGAAATCGGTAAGGCCAGGGTGCAAAGCATACTTTTTCTTCTCAAGTCGAGCCTTGTTAGCAAAAATGTCATGCCTCTCAGATTTTTTCCAAAGGTAGTAAAATTGAACCAATTCTCCGACAGATCTTGTTCGTACCTTGAACGAACGTGAATCAATTATAATTGATGTGCTAATAATATATTTGATACACATGCACATGCAAGCTTTTCTTTCCTATATTAAAGGTGCTACTGACAAAATTGGCCGAATTCTCAAAAAACATGACATAAAAACGATATTCACCGCCAACAATCAAATTTCCACATTTCTTCGTTTCCCCAAGGACCAAATTGTCAATGAATCCCAGGATATATATGAAATTCCATGTTTCGATTGCCATAGAACATATGTAGGCCAGAACCAACAGACATTTTACAAGTAGAATATCGAACATCAAATTGCTGTCCGAAAGTCAAACCCATCCTCAGCCCCGTCCAAACATCATCAAGAGACAGGACACAATAATTATATACTTTGCGAACACTAAACCCATCGCCACGGCGAAAACACTACAAGCTCGGATAATTCGCGATGCTTTCAAAATCTAAAAGCGACTTTCCTGCCTGAACAAACGTGATGAAGGTCAGAGACTTCCAACTACCTGGAAACCCCTAATTTCCCGATGTCAACCCCCCAACAAGACGTTTGGTGATGGGAATCACCCGAAGCCCCGCCCTCACATTTCCATTTCAGCAGCTCCCGTCGATATAAATACCACCGAACATCCTTCGATATCTGAGTTTAATCTAAGGAGTAGGCAGATTGAGATCTCAGAGAAAAGTTGTGACGAAACTTGGGAAGTAGGCAGATTCAGGCCCTGGCGTCAAGTCACATCAATTTCTTGAAAATGGCTCCAAAATCGGAACCGAAATGTCGAACACAAAACTTAAGACGCGGTTCAACCGCTTATACAGGGCGTTTCATGATGAGCGTTAATTAGCCGTTTCTGGCAAACTATTCAACGGATCAACCTGAAAATTCCACAGTATGCATAAGTGAATATGACCTACACGCCTAAAATATTTTAGACGAAGCGGCGTTGTCGCTTCTACTATAAAGTAGCGGGTTCTTTGATTTTTCAAATGGAACACCCCGTATATAATATCATATTATGATTCATTATCACTTTGTCAACAAATTCATATA